CCCCAAAACCCCAAAACCCCAAAACCCCATCAATCTAATTTTGCAGCGAAATAATAGGTCATTTAGTATTTGAGATAAATTCAGATAAAAGAAGCAAAGACAGCTAAATTAATAATGAATTAACTTTAAATTATAGTAGTAAAATACCTAAAAGCAGAGCAATTGTTTTTAAAATTATAACAATAACGAAGTAAAAAGAAATAGAGTGAAGTTGTTTGATTTAATAAGAATGATGAGATTACAAAATATAAATCACTTTTGAACAATCTCTGGGTATGATGGTTGAGATAGGATACCACAAATGTTATCATTTGTTGCAGCAATTTTGACATATCCTTAGTCTCCCCAGTCTGGACCCCATGAGTTCTTGACAATGAAATAAGGAACACCACCATCAGTACCGTAACCAACAGCGAGGACACCATGGTCGAGTTCAGTACCGCAGCTAGAGTCATTGATAACACCTCCTTAATAACTTTAGAAAATATTTTGATCAGCTTCAATGGCTACTGAAACAGGTCCTAATTGAAGAGCAGCAATTAGTTGATCTGCATCATTTGGTGTAACATCAACATATGACTTAACTTGAACAGTCTCTTTTGAGGCATCAACTCTGCAAGTATCATCCACACCTTCATAAGGATAATCTGCTTCAGTCTCAAGTGGAGTTTGTTCAGCATATTAGAAGGCTGAATCCATCCATCCACCATTGCAACCCTCGTTTCCTTGGGCTTAAGAGCAGTCAACAAGTTGTTGCTCAGAAAGAGACACAAGTTGTTTGTTAGTGAGGAAATTGTGACCTTCAATAGAACCTGTTGCTGAGAATGACCAGCATGATCCACATTAGCCTTGATCCTTTACTTAGGTCACAGCTCCCTTAGTTCTCCAATCGATGGTATTGTCGCCATTAGAGGGAGCTAGATATTTTACCTTTGATTAGTCAACATTGTGTGGTAGATAACCGAGTCTCTTTTTGTACTCTTCTGGAGTCATGTCTGAAAATTTGTTGACTCCAAGGCGATAAGATACTCCATTTTATGCGTTGTGCATTCTGATTTTCAAAAGGTTAGATTTGAAAAGATTCTATCTGAATTAGAATTCCTCTTTGGTAGCATAGGATTTGCCGTGAAGAGTAATGAATTTCAAGAATTCTTGATCTTCTGGGGAGAAAACTTGATTGAGTTAGCTATCATTTCCGTTGAATCCACTGACTGCAAAGAGGGCAGTGAAGGCAACAACTCCGACAACAGCCAAAGTAATAGAGGTAGTTTTTCTCATTTGTTCTAGTTTATAATAATTTTATAATTTTGTATCTGGATCCATTTAAATAGTTTTAAGCCTCCTCACTAAGCAAGATATCCAATTGATGGGGTTTTGGGGTTTTGGGGTTTTGGGGTTTTGGGGTTTTGGGGTTT